TATGCAAAAAACGCGTCTTCGCACGGGCAGCCCGTGCGTTGGCCAATTATTTTGTCACGATTTTCTAAATTTATTGTCAAAATTAGGATTTTCAATTAACACTTTCAGTCTCATTGAACAAGATTCTTTTTTTAGGTTGCGGATGTAATTTTGATGGAACCTTTACGAAAATTGGATATCGAAACGCACCGTCGTATGCATTCTTATCTTTCGTTGCCGGAATACGTGCTCGCCGACGATGTTTTAGGTTCTGCGCATACCGACTTTATACAGGAACTTTGCACTGGTAGACCATTTGTAATGATTGATGCCGACGATGATGATGATGTTGATGATGATGATGATGATGATGACGACGACGGTGCCGATGATGCACCATGCTGCTCTAAACAACACCAGGCTTGCTCTCTTTTATAAATTTGTTGCAATAATTAACTGTCGTTTCATTATACGGTAACTTCGTGCCGTCAGCTTAGCTACCAGCCTTCCAGTGGTTAATGCGGCAGAGGTCGAGCAGCTGTGCACTGAAAAACGCAAATGTGTACTTTATAACGTGGCACGGCGAATAACGTAAATAATGAACAATGATAAATAGCAGCACAATAAATGGCAACCGGTACAATCATAAGATTTTTTGCAGTTCTGCCCAGTGGGCAGTTGCTGTTCGGAATGTTCACTACTTTACAGTTTTGTAGGGGCAAAAATACGAAATTCCACGTGCCCATGTATGAAACGTAGGCCTTCATGAGAGCTAGACTTGAATTTTTTTTTCTTTTCAGAAACAGAAAACATCTTCCAACAATTTTAACTTTCTGTTTTGTTTCGTTCCCGAACTAAAAATTTCTTGTGTAAAATTTTAGTTGAATTTGAAGTTCCACAGCTGTACACTTAGAGAAAGCATCATAAAATTCCAGCTTTCCATCTTGCCGGTTCCCGGGAGAGAAAATTTTGTGCCAAAATTCCCACGTATCTGCACATGAGACTTAGACATGAATGGAAGTTGAATCGAAATTTCTGAGAGCGTATATGGGCGTGAAATGCTTCATTAAAGCTTTAGCTTCCAAACTTTTGTGAATCACGAGCTAATATTTTGTCAGTTCTTTTTGAATTTGCTTGAAAGCTGACTTTAATTTCGCTAGGTCGCACGTGGGCAGAGAACATCTTCCTAATTTTTCAACTTCCTAGTTTTTTTGGTGCCCAAGCTATTAATTTTGCGCAGATTTGAATGTCCGTGCGTGAGATCTCAGCACACATGAGAGCTGAGTTTGCAGCTGCGCTTGCACGCACATAAAGACATCAGTTACCCTTCACGGTGTTCATCCTGTCTAAGGCAGCTGATTGATGGCTGGAAAGCAAGGGACTTTGGATCGAAAAACTTGATACAACTGCACCAGGCTTGTAATAGCACTCCAGTAACTTCAGTAACAAGGGAATCCCTACACCACTTCCCTTGATGTTCTTGTAAATATCATCAAAAAACAATTTTTACCAAAAAAGAGCATGGTAGCAATTTTAAGCATGAAAAGATTGCTTATTTTAAACAATTTTTGCAGAGTAAGGCAGGATCGATTTCGCTTGAACTAACAGTACCTTCTCATTGGCACAGTGCGAAGAAACAGACTGAAAGGATTACAACGTTGAACCTCAATGATGAATTTGAACCTCTTCGTAGTGGCACCTCTTTTTGCTAAGAGAAATAAATTACCTCATTTTACAAGGACTTGGTTGTTTTCAAATACTGCTTCCGCTTTAGAAAATCACGGTGCTAGTTGACGAAATCATTAGCTTGTAGGCAGTTTAAATTAACCAGGGCATCATTATTTGCTTAAAAGTATGCGAGAACAGTTTTTTATTCCTCATTTTTTGGGCTGTGTAAAATCCTTGACTACACTTAACTTGTTCCTACGAGATAGTAAACCGGTGCAAACAGCTTTCTTTGTTTTTGTCACTTTTTTTTGGGAAATTTTCGGGAAGTTTTTTCGAGGTTTGTACTTCCAGTACTACCTCTACATTGGAAAATTAATTTCTTATTTCGAGCACAAAAACTCGAGTAACACAATGGGACTGGGAAAAAAAATTTAGAGTTAAAGTGGGAAAAGTTTCGGATCCCTACAGAAATGTGGGGTGGTGCCTTACGGCGTAAGATTGAAAACCGGGCTGACATGACGTTATCTGGTGAACCACCGACGAAAAAGACGAAAACGGGGATATTTCTTTTCCATGTTAGTTTTTTTTTTACTTTTCCATCTACTGCATTTTACCATAAACTTCAAACATCTTACTTTCGGTACTCTCCTTTTAAACTCACCCTTCCCTTCGTTCTTCACCTTCCTCCGGTAATTAACATGTTCCTTTTAACATGGCAGAATGAAACAATGTATTGATGATTCGCACCAATTCTGCCATATATTTTACAACTCAGGCATGAAGCACGGACAGGCTACCAAGTCACAGACATACAGACTTGCCTGTTTGGTAGATCTAAATGCCATTTCTAGTGTTTTCATTATCAGAATTCGACTGTTTCTCTCTACGATGAGCAGAAGCATCAAATGAACTGCATATGTTAATGCATAGATAATTTCAGGCCCCGTCCTCTTCCAGTCTCCTAGCCAAGGATATTCATTGCTTATGTCCCTAAAATTTTTGCAACACTTAAGTCACTGGAAATGATGTAATAAAATTAATGCGTTTCATTTTTATGCGTTTTGTGCTTTGTAACAGCAGTACAAAACGCATATTGTCACTTGGTTGTCTGTGTGTGTGTGTGTGTGTGTGTCTCACATTTTGTCCCGCACTTTCAACTCGGGAATCACAAAAGTTAGGCGGCTGATATTTTAGTGTAGTGTTCCCTGCAACGGGTGACGCGGCAAATTTGAATTCAGCATTCTCGTACCTGGCAGTAACAGGTACGGCCCCACAAAAGTTTTTCGGGTAAAATCAGTATCTCGGGAACCACGGAAGCTAGAAGGCTGAAATTTTGTGGACATGTCCCCCGCCCATCTGCCAGCCAGAAAATTTAATTTCAGCTTTTCCCTGCCCGCGGGTAACATCTACGGCCCCGTGGAAATTTTTGACAGGTAAATTGTTATCTCGGGAACCACGGAGTCTAGGTAATTGAAATTTTGGGGTTGTGACCCCCTGCCTACGAACGATCTTGCAAATTCAAATTTTGCGTTCCCGCGCTCTCGGGTGTCACCTACGACTCCGTGGAAGTTTTCGCGGGTAAATTATCTCGGGAACCAGAAAGTCTACGAAGCTGAAATTTTAGGATAATGACTCCTTGCCCACGTGCGATCTTGCAAATTCAACGCTCCCGCGCTCTCGGATGTCATTTACGGCCTCGTGAAAATTTTGGCGGGTGAACTATTATCTCGGGATCACGAAAGAACATTCACTCTTCATAGTTTCAAATTCAGCTTCCCTGCGCCGATGCATGAAATTTTTAAGTATTTTTCAACGTTTCGACCATTTCTGCACAGACCAAGGTACAAAGCAGTGAGAACCATTAATAGGCAATCGTTCGATGAGCGGAATTGCGCAAAACGCATGATTGCACCGGCTAGTCTGGTGCGCGTTGCTATTTATCTCTTTTTAATTGAAGGGAAATGTCTCATTTTCAAAATGCGAACGACTGGATGGCATAAAGCTACTTTTTTCGCCACTAAAATACATTCAAGACCAAGCAAGCAATAAGTCTCTAGACAGATAGGGCAACATTCTTCCCCATATTTCATGCGCTTTTTGTATATTATGCAGATTCAAAAACGCACAATGGCAAGAGGTTGTCTGCATATGTTTGTGTGTGTGTATTCCTGCATGTGTGTCTTTGTGTGTCGTTCTGTCTGTTTGTTCGCGCTTTTTGTTACCCGCTTTCAGTTCGAGAACTTGAGAAGCTAGAAAACTGAAACTTTGAAAAAAGCATATGTCTATTTCATGTGCGACCCTATATTTTTAATTATCATTTGTATGCGTCTGAGTCTCACGAACGCCTAAAAAGAATTGCAGTTTTTTTTAACGTCAGTGCGGCCTCAGAGACTAGACAAGGTAGAAAGCTGAAATTCCACTAGGGTCTTCTTTGTGTGAGCTGAAGATTTCAATTTCAATTTCGGCGCACGCACACGTCCCGTGTACAGAAGATTTTATAATCGCTGGCAAAATGCAAATTCGAGGAATAAGTTGATTAGAAAGCTCTAATTTCACGAGTACATGTGTTTTCCACAAATAGGTATGTAATTATAAAGCGAGCTTCGGCACACGCCTGTCTCGCGAGTTCCTTTACGTTAAAGATTTCACGTAACAAAAAACAATTTCACTAATCAGAAATGCTAGGGAGCTGAAACTTTACGAAGATATTCTGTGCCCATTTGCAACCGAAATAGGGGTTCAATTTTAGCTTTAAAGCACGCCTGGGTCTCACTTGTGCCCAAGTGAATGTTTAGTTTTGGACACTGTTGGCAGCCAAACAACTCGTTGACTAGAATGGGGAGGAAGCAGTATTTTCTCCGACAATGTTTGCTGTTTATGTGTGGGCCAACAAACGTAAGATGAGCTTCTGCCTAGGCACGGGCGCTGCGTACAGGCGCATGAAATGATTAAATTGCAACACTGCAGTTACATTGCTGTAGTATAGATGATCTCTCTACAAAATCGAATCATGCAAAAACGTATGTTCGAGCCGTCAGGCCTGGTGCGTTGTAGTCTGGGTTCTGTGTAGGGAAGGGGGCAATAAACTGAGTTGAATTTTAAACTAAAATATGCCAGTAGCCGAGGATACAAGCAGTCTCTGCAATGGATTTTAAGGTTTTACACAAATTTATCATAAAACGAAAAGTTGGGGCGAATGGTACGAAGTCTGAGTAGCGAGGAACAAATATTTGAATAAAAAGCTTTTGAGAGAATTCATTTACGACCTTCTTTTCCAGCAGTTGTTATGGCTAACAGTCGTGCATGTACTGATAGCCCAGATTCCCTGCCGTGGTTGCCTAGAGTCAGTGCTGAATTCCGCGTGTAGCAAGAAACTATAAAAAAGGTTAAAATTCATTAATTTGGTAAAACTAAGGAGCAAAGCAGAAAAGTGCGAAGCGAAATATGTGCGATGGCGAAAAGCAGTCAAGTCTGCTAGGAAACAACATCTGTTAAAATTGCCTTCTAATTCGTCGGTTCCCTTACCTTCCCGCTCATTCTCCACACGCCCCTCAAACAGATCTGATGAATAATAAATCCTGTATATATTGACAACCTGGATTTCTAGCCATAGTTGCTTGGACACAGTACTGAGTTCCAGATGTTGCATGCCAAGTACAGTTATTGCAAGCACTCGTGCGTCGGAATTTCAAAATTTAAAATTTTCCTCGCTTGCTTCTCCTTTTTGGCTCAAAATAACATAAAGAGCGACGCGGACCAGGGTAGCCGGT